AATGAAGTGCCCAGTATTATCCAACCAGAATATTGAGATAAGTCTAGAGGAGATTTTCTTACGTGCCTTTACTTTATCTGCTTCCCAGAAATTAAATCAGAGGAGAGAATGCTGGTTTAGAGGGATAGACTAATGAATAATTTGCATTTGTGGATTTTTCCTAAAACAAAACAAAACAAAACAAAAGCATGAACTAACAGGACAACATGAAAATGTGCCTATTTTACTCAAGTATAAATTGAGGTCAGAAGCAGACAAAGAATGTGCACGCAATGACCACCATGAGGCACTTTTTTATCACATGACAAGGGGCCGTGGCTTTGAAAGGTGTGGTGAGGATAGAAGGCGGCCTACCCATGTTTCATTTACATCGGACCTGGAGCCTGGACTGGAGGGAAGAACCCAGGACAGGCCTGGGCCAGAAGTTCTTTCTAGTTACTGGCAGTGTGCCTGTGAGCCTGGCTATACACGTACAGGAGGGTCCTCATGGTTGATCAATGTATAAAGTATATTTTTCTAGTTGAGTGTCTCCCTGTTGTGGTGGTGTCTGGAAGATGGTGTACATTGTATTATTGACATAGGTGGACATGTTCAGAGCAAGTCAGAGGGAGCTCAGCATTATGTCAGAGCGGGATCAAAGAGACAGTGTGTGGTTATTTATGCATTCATTTATTAATTTGCTTATTCAGCAAGTATTGAGTGCCTGCCATGTTCTAGGCATCAGCATTGTAAGGAAGGAAAACGAGCAATATCTGTACCCTTGTGAAGTTTACATTGTATAGGGGAAGATTGGCATTAATTAGTCTAAATAAATGTACAAGATATTTACATAATTGTGTGTTGTGAGGGCAATAAGGGAAGTAAAGAGGAGATAAGATCCTTCCCATCAGAGAAGACCTCTTTGATGATATCACACTTGTATTAAGACCTCCCCGTATGTGTTAGTTAGCCAGTGTCAACGACGGGGAAAGAGACTGGGCAGAGGGAACAGTGAGTACAAAAGCCCAAAGACAACAAAAGGACTGGCATGTTTGCACAACAGAAGGGAGGGAAGGCAAGGGAAAGAGTAGTATGGCATGACCTTGGACGGTTTGGGAGGGGGCCAGACCATGCAGGACCTGGCCACCATTGTTTCTCACCTGACTGCTGAAATAGCAGTGCTTAGAAAGGACAGTGGCTTGGACTGGAGTCAACGCAATGAGAACAAGAGAGCTGGAAGGGTTTAAGATGTATCTTAGAGGTTAAGAGTGACAGAACTTAACGAGGGATTGAAGGTCAGGAATGAGGTAAAGAAAAGGAACAGGAAAAACAAGGAGGACTCCTAGCTTGACTGACTGGATTGTGGTGCCATTTTCTGAGGCTTAAGAGACATACCTTGCCAGACCTCACTCAGTTGGGACATTGAAGTGTAGTCTGTGTGAATTTGCTTTCTTCATCTTTTTAATCTGTGAAGTGAGATTGATAGGCTAAATTTCCGAGATACCTTCCAGATTGGCAATTAGGTTCTCGTCTAGATTAAACTGTGAATATAGAAACATCCTGACATATTAAGTAATATTGTCAGATCCTGGTATTTGATAAATGGTATTATTGTGGAATTAATCTTTTATATCAAAACTTGTATCCAAATTTGAGGAAGTGTTTTTTTACTCATGCAAACAAAAGAAGAGGTGATTTTGGTCCGTTTTCTCTTGGACACAATGTTTTTCATGAGTCTTTCAGCAACAAGGTAGTTTTGTTCTGTAAAGTATAAACTGCCGCTTGCAACCCCTAACTAAGACTACAAAGCCCAAAGGATAAATTGCTTACAGTGAAGCAGTTTTTTTAAGATTATGCTTGGGATTCCACCCAGGAGTCAGGCAGGTTTCTACAGAGAGGAAATGGTGACATTTCAGTGATCCTAAAGAACTGCCTGCAGCTCTAATTCCACCATCTGGGGCTAACCCATTTTGGCCAGGTCTAAAATTCTAATGCTAAGAAAAGCAGTCCCCACTCTCTCAAAGCAGTAAATTTCTGAAATCCGCGACAAAGGATAGATCTTTTAAACCCACAGAAACATTGGAATCGTGTTCTTGACAAAGGAATTGGCAAGCCATGAATCTTAAGTATATCCAACAGCATGTGAGTAAAGCAAAGCAGCCACTCTAAATCTATCCATAGACCCCCTTATTGGACTATAAGCCCCTGAATCAATTAAGATGCTACAAGGAACAGAAAAATCCAACTTAAAAAGCCATGAGCAGTAAAGATACTTAATGTCTCACAAAACGAGTCCGTTTCTGGCTGGTTCAACAGTTCCGTGATATCTTAGGGACGCAGGCTCTTTACCTCTCTGCTCTTCCCGCAGAGAGAGCCTTGACCCTGAGGCATATCGCCTCGTAGTTCACGATGGCTGCCACACTTCTGGAAAACACCTGAGCTAACACTGGACCAAAGAAGTGGCTCATTCTCTTCACTGTGTTTCCTGTAGTGAGAGAGAAAGCCTTTCCCAGAAGCAGACATCCCCTTAAGTGCTTGTCTGTGGAGCACCCAGCTCCCCCTGCCTAGATAGTGGGACTTGAGCCTAGACTTGTTCCCCTCTCTTTTATTTCCTTCACTCTCTATGACCTCTCCATTCAGGTTTTAAATCATCTGTCTCCTACCCTCTATCTCTGTTTACTGCATTAATTCAGACCTTCATTATCTCTATCTTTCTCCCTGGTTCCTCTTTATCTTCCATATTACCACTGAGACAATCTTTTAGAACACATATCTCATCATGACACTATCCTGCTTAAAACCCTTCAGTGATTCTTAATCACATATACGATTAAATTTCATTTTTTTTCTAGCTGTAGGAATGACCTCTCCCTTCCCTCTTTTATTAAAAAAAAAAGACTTACATGGCAGCTCAGTACAGCTTACAGATGAGTGTAGAGCTGCTGTGCTGAAATGGGGTAGGGAAAGGGCCCATAGCCAGGTGGATCCCTCTGCTCTTCTCACCAAGAGGCCCCAAAGCCCTTCCCTGGATCCCCAGCAGTACAGGCAAATCAGAACACCTACACACCAGTCGATGTGGACCTCAGGAGTGTCAACCAGGCTAGTGGCACAGGCTTAGATGGTAGTGGAGGCCAAGGTCAGGAACGCGGTCTCTCCAGAGTGCGCAGAGTAAGAAGCAAAGAAGGGAAGAGGGTCAAAGAGACATCTCCAAGAGGTCTGTACAAGCTCTGCCTCCCAGCAGTGCATATCCCAAAAAGTTTCTGTTTCACCTTCAGACTTCACGAATGTGCCTTATATTCTTTGATCGTGCTAGATAAGTTAATCCAACAGATGCTTGAGAACAAAGTGAAAATGGTTGAAGACCAAAAGGCAACTCATAGCAAAAACTGAGAATAATAATTTGATTGTATGAATTGTTTTTGTGTTTACATTTTCACTTTTAGAGTGTTTTTTAAAGGTAAAAGATTTGCAGTTTGCTTGGAATCCCTGAGATTAGCCTTTTTTTTTTTTCTTTCACAAAGCTTTTCATATCAGAAATCCTGAGTTATTTCATGTATTTCCATTTCTTTTTTTTTTTTTAAGATTTTATTTATTTGAGAGAGAGAGAGGGAGCACAAGAGACAGCAAGCACAGGCAGTGCAGGGGGGAGGGCAGAGGCAGAAGGAGAGGGAGAAGCAGACTCCCCACTGAGCAGGGAGCCTGCCCCTGCCAACATGGGGCTCAATCCCAGGACCCTAGGAACGTGACCTGAGCTGAAGGCAGCTGCTTAAAGGACTGAGCCACCCCAGACACCCCTATATTTCCATTTCTGATCAAGGCAGTTCTGAGTTAAATGGGCTTCAGAATGGAATTTCAAACTGAAATCTAATACTTGAATATACCGAATATTCTAATTATCCTCCTTCCTCTTGCTATTGACTTGTATTTATTCTTTATGTCCACTTGAGAATTCAGTCCTGTTTATTGTTCTGTGAAGGCTAAAGAGCTTTTTAGATGCAGTTTACATGCTGTTGTAGAATATGACCTCCTAAATGAGGAGGGAAATATTAATGAAGGCACTGATGGATAATTTTCACAAGCAAAGGCGTTAACAGTTTGAAGCAACAGCTTAATGGGTTGAACATTCCAGCAGGCATCCGCATCCTCCGTGACACTGTCAGAAGGGAGGGAGGAGAGAGGAAAGGGCTGGGCAGAGGACACGAGGCAGGGAATAAGGCCAGGCCCCAGGTGGACCAGACCATCCCTCTCTGTTTGCTTTTATCCATTCTCATTTCAAGAAGGGTTTCAGAAGAGCTTGTCCTTTGAACAGTCTGAGCCTGTCAGTCAGTCTGGCTCCCCTTCTGACTCCGACCACCCCCACCCCACCTCCCATCCACCTAGATCTCATTTCTGTCATCACTGCCGGGTTTTCTGCTTCTACCTTTATAGTCTTCCCCCATCGCCCCCTGGAGCTGCCCTGTTTCTGGTGACCAGTCTTTGCGTCAGGCTTTGTATAGGCAAGTTTGTATAGGCAGCTCCTTCACGGCTCCCTGGAGCACCACGGGATTGGGCTGTTGACGTCTGTCATTCACTGCCTTTCCCAGACCCTCTAGCCAAGGAGCCCACACAACCCCCTTCCTCTCCACTTTGAACAGGAGCTCCATAGAAATGAGGCACCAATGAGAAGCAAAAAAAATAGCTATCAGTTGTCAGAAGCTTCAGACTGATTTTTATTCTCTCCTAATCCTTTTAGATGTGATATGTGTTTAAATTAAGAGGAGCAGAAACAAAAATGATTTGGGAAGATGATAATGTTAGCCTAGCTTATTTCTGTAACATTCTAACATGGTTAGGAAAATTGACTGTCAGATTTGATCAGTGTTGTTGAAGTGAACAGCCATCATTCTCAGAGTGTCTGGAGTTAAATTCTCACCCAGCAGGGGCAGTTTTAATGACTGAAGAATCCGCTAACAACAAGAAATAGCTGAATCTCGTCGATGCACTGCTCACCTCTTCCATCGCCTCTCTCTCCGGTCTTTCAGGTACAACGTGTCTGATTGCTCTGCTGTCAGATAAGGACCTCACCGTGGCCAACGTGGGTGACTCAAGAGGGGTCCTGTGTGACAAGGACGGGAACGCCATTCCTCTGTCTCATGATCACAAGCCTTACCAGCTGAAGGAGAGAAAGAGGATAAAGAGAGCGGGTGAGCTTGTGAACACCTCCAAGGACTATCTGCCATCCTGTTCTGTGAACCAGGTGGCTTGCTTGGATGGCCTGTGGGGGATAAGATGTTCAGTTACCCGGTGATTAGTAGAGATCAGCGCAGAGGCTGCTGCTGAGGTAGCAGAGACTTGACTTTGTGACATTTCTTGTCAAATAAATGGCCACTGAACTTGCCCTTCTTTATGGCCAACATTCCAAAAGAACCGCCCCCCCCGAAAAGCCCTTTACTAGTTTAAAGGTTAATGAGATCTTTGGGCTCCTGCTTGCCATACCCTGTTTCCCTCCAGCCATACCAAACTACTAACCGTTCCCCCAGTGAACCATGTTTCTGCTAGCTCTGTGCCTTGGCAAGTGCGTCCCCACCGTCCAGTGGTTGACAGTGATTTGGCCTTGAAGAGCCAGTTTCAGGGTATCCTTTTGGAAGCCTTCCCTGTCACCGAGCCAAAGGTTCCCCCAGTCTGCGTTAGGTGCCCCTTCATCTTTCCCAACATCCTATGGGGCTAGCCAACTGGCTTACCTTTCACAATGTAGGAACATACTTGGCTCTCTTATCCGGAGAGTATCAGGAGTGGTCACTACAGGCCTCACCAAAGTGACATTAGGACAAAGACTTGAGGGAAGATTATCAGTTTTCATGATTCACTTTGGGGGATTCTTTTCTACGTATGGATGGGAGGAATCCCTTCCTCTCCACACTGGCAAGTGCAGCATGTAGGCTCTGCATGACATGCCAGGCGGCAGGCCCACCAGCTGTCCAAGGGGAGCTCCTGTACCCTGGGTCTCTAACCAGAATGGGCCCCTGCTGCCCAGGGTAATTGCAGCTGACTCTTGGCCTCTGTGGGTCAGCCTCTGCCCAGAACCTAATCAACATCTGAGTTTTCACAGTAGGGAACTGTACTGTTGAGTCAGAAAGTGTTGAATTTTATTACAACCTCCTGCTTCAGTAACTGCTTGAGATGCAGAATAATTTTTAATGAAAGCTTTAGTCAGGGTTTTTGTTGGTGGGATGGAACAAACGATGTTTTAGGAGCATCTAGCAAGCTTTGATGAGCTGCAGGCAAATAGTCTGGCTTCCTTCCTTACAAAGACACAATTTCCCCATGAGTCTGCTGTGACCCTGGACTTAAAATACAATTAGCCTACTCTTGTGGAAGCACAGGCAAGGAAGGATGTGTATACGATACCTGGAAATGTCATCTTAGCATCCAGCGTGCCCTTCTGAAATGGTGTTCCCATTCGATCCTCCCTCCTCATCCCTGCCGTACCCCACAGCTGCACCCCCACCCTACAGGAATGCTTTATAGAAGCCAATTTGGACACTGTCTCCAAGGAGGTTAATCTAACCTGCTATGTCAAGGCTGTATTTTATAGCAAGGCTTAAGGGACAGTGATTGGTTTTATTACTTTTATGTGTATTTTCTCTGACCTCAGCCTTCTTTTCAGGACATTTTTTCCTTGTCCTGCTTAGCATAACAATACACTGCAAGCAGCCTGGGCCAAATACTTGTTGGTCCCTCTGTCTTCACTCCTTTTGTTGTTGCCAACAACAGTAATGGTATCAGCTGCCATTTATTTTTTGCTCTCTGCTGGGAGCCAAGCCTAGTTCTTTCCATATGCTTATCTTTACTTACCCTATGAGGTTGATAATGTTACCCTCATTTGACAGCCAAGGAAGCAGAGCCTTAAAGAGGCATGTGTGCCCCAGAACACACAGCTAGTGAGTGGTGAGACGAGAATCAAGACCCAGGACACTGACCCCGGAGCCCATGCTCTTGCCTACTAGACCATACTTCCTGGAATGTTCTCATATATCCCTGCCCATAGAAGTCCTACCCATTGCTCAAAGCCCAGCTTTATTGCTCATTCCTCCGTGATCATCACAACCAGATATATTGCTCCTCCTCCATCTGACTACAGCATTTAACAGGTACTAGTTTCTTCCTGAAAGAAGACTGCTTGGTGCTTACAGTTGTTAATATGTGTAGCTTTTCCTTTCTGCCAAACTATCTACTTCTTTAGAGAGAGGTCTGGATCTTGTATAACCCCGTAGCCTACAAATTGCCTTGCATGGAGTATACATTTAATAAATATCTGACAAATAATATGTGAATGAGCAAAGTTCTAGCTCCCTTAAAGAAAAAATAATAGAGAATATCGAGTCCATGTGATATTCAGGCACTATATGCTAAGTGATTTATATGGAGTAATTCCTTTATTTCTCACCAGTGGAATAGGTACTGTGATAGCCCTCATTTTGTAGCCAGGGAAACCTAGAAGCTAGAACCACTCATCTGAAGCTACACATGGCTACAAGTGACAGAGCCAAGTATCAAATCTAAGCAGCCTGACCCAAAAGCCCAAGCCTTTAACCACTGTGCTAAAAAATACACCTTTCTTTAATCCCGAACCTACTTGGGGATCTGTTTTGCAATCAAGATGCACCCAAGGGCGGCCTCGAGCTAAATGAATAGCGCAGTGGTGGTCTCTGGTTCCCATCCTCGTGCCTGTCAGCACTCTTTTGCCATTGTCCTTGAATCCTTACCCTAGGGCTTCCTACTGTCAATCAATGAGCCACCAAGGTGTTATTAAAACCGATGCCCTCACCTATATGGATCTTCCTACCCTCAGTTATTTTTACTGATATATTCCTCAGAGCCTTTAAGATGCCAAGGATGAGGACATGAGGATCTACTGGTAGAGTGTGAAACCTCAAGCCATGTGAGGTGAATGCTACTCCTTCCTGGCAGTGCCCAGGGGAGGTGAGGGGGCACATACGATGGATGGGCCTTTTGTATGCGCACCCAGACTCTACCGTGTGAGTGTGTGTGTGTGTGTGTGTGTGTGAGAGAGAGAGAGAGAGAGAGAGAGATCGGCCGCTCCAGCTAATGGGCTCCATCTTTCTTTGCAGGTGGTTTTATCAGTTTCAATGGCTCCTGGAGGGTCCAGGGAATCCTGGCCATGTCTCGGTCCCTGGGGGATTATCCGCTGAAGAATCTCAACGTGGTCATCCCAGACCCAGATATCCTCACCTTTGACCTGGACAAGCTCCAGCCCGAGTTCATGATCTTGGCATCAGATGGCCTCTGGGATGCTTTCAGCAATGAAGAAGCTGTTCGATTCATCAAGGAGCGCTTGGATGAACCTCACTTTGGGGCAAAGAGCATAGTTTTACAGTCATTTTACAGAGGCTGCCCTGACAATATAACAGTCATGGTGGTGAAGTTCAGGAATAGCAGCAAAACAGAAGAGCAGTGAACCCTTCGGGGTCTCGGCTGCCTTAGACTAAAGGACTTTCAACACACTGGTCTCTTTTAATGTAGTCAAAGGTGTGGGAGTTACAGTTAGGATGAGCCACCTAAATGTGGGATTCCCCCTCGCTGGTGGACATAGGTCTCTATGCAGGAATGGACAGAGGGTGCTCTTGGCCAGCATAGCTGAGAGGCTGGAAAAATGGTTTCTTTGTGTTTTCCCAATTCTTTCATCTGATGTTCAAAATATATAAATATATAGCTGTAGATTCACATGTATGAGGTGAACGGCACATGTGCCATATATTCTCCCATTTGAGAGTCTTTGCAAGATCTCTTACAGGATTCTCTCCAACATCAGACTTTGTCCTCTCTTTGGAGCAGTGCGCAGAGCGGGCCTCCAGGGCTGCAGGAGACGGCTGCAGCGTCCCCCATGAGTCTCGGCTGATGGGTCGAGGCCCGCTGCTGAGGGCAGAGCTATCCTGAGACTGCTCTGGCCTCCTGAACCCAGCTTTTCTGCTCAGCAGCAGCCCAGACACAGATTTGAGATGGTTTAATATTCCATGGCTGCTTTTGGAGACTGAGGGAAGGAAGTGGGGAGGATGAGAGCCGCCTGCACAGCAGACATAACCTTTTGCCTTGGCTTCCTTTATTAGTTTAATAGACTCCCTGTACCACCTGACCAGTCTTCGTGCATTTATCCTAGTCGTGCATGACCTTAACCTTCTGCTTATACCTGACCTTATGTAATAGGCAGCTGTGAAACTTCACCACCAGACACCACAATTTTTTTTTTTTTGTCTTACTAAGAAACCTATTAGGGGAAGCAAATAGGGTAAATCACAATACCATAATTTCTTCCATCTTTAAGGGTAGAGAGAGGAAAATAGAAGCCAAATAAGTCAAGGTGCCCTTTGGGCAATCTGCCATTTGCATTAGGAGACAAAGCTGGGGAAGGTCACCACCCTGAACTGAGCTCCAGTGGCCATTTTTGTGTGGGGTTTTTTTGTTTCTCTCCTGTCCTAGTAGCTTTCAGGTGTCTCTCCAGAGGTGTTTCGAGAAGCAGCAGCCTAGAACTGAGTGTGTGTGTGTTCCCTGAAGCCGAGTACACTGTTCCCAGCGCAGTTTGACATTTGGTGGTAAGATGCTGGTATGTGTTTCTCCTTGACAGTGGGAAGGCAGCAGCCTGTAATGTCTGCTTGCAGCTCACTGTCCACACCAGGTAGGTTGCCCCAGGCAAACACAAACTGCCCCACACCGTCCTGCATTCTGCGGCAACCACGCTAGCTGGGAATTCATGCTCTGACCTGTATTGTTAATTGGCTCAGGGTTATTTTATCCCAGTGCCAAGCCTGCTGCTCTTCATTTCCTATCACCAAAGTCATGTTTCCAATCTCAGTATTTTATAAATTAATTGATAGAGAGTTCTGGGTCATCTTGTTTGCCTGAGGTGGCTCCAACAACCAAACAAGATTTTTGTTGTGTCCCTACCCCTCTGTGTCTAAAATGTCAAGGTGTCCACCTGGTTTTGTGCTTCTCAAGTGGGCACTCGTAGTTAGAACTTCTCAAAGGTCTAGTGCACTGGCCACACACGTCCAGCCCTCAGTCCCCTCCCTCCCCTGCCCTTCTTCAACGGTGGAGCTCTCCCAAAGCAGGTTCCAGGGGAGAACTTGGGAGGATGAAACGATTCCCTTGTGGCTCCCAAGGACCGCAACCTGTCTCAATTCCTCCAAGCGCTTACCTTTCCTTGACTGCAATGAGAATTAATAATGGTTTCCCAAGAGATTTGCTCACTTTTGTAAACTGTAACAATAGCATTTCCAACATTAGAATTAGAACGTTGTTTGTGTTTTTTTTTTTAACTATAGAGTGTTCTAGTGCAAAATATCTGTCACCACTTTAGATTGAAATATTTGCCTATTGAGAGGCAGTGAACATTTGGATGTATGTATTTGGGGCAGGGGTCACGAGAGGAATGTAGGAGACATGCTGGTTGTGTTCAGCAATAGGATGGTCAAACCAGGTGGCCTGAGCTTGGAGACCTAGGACATTCTGACTCTGGAGAGTTACCAAAGCCCACCATCTAAGTGAAGTTAAGGAATAAGCAGTTTTAGCATTTTATGCTATGCAGTCCATTTTCCTTTTTTAACTTAGCTCTAAAACTCATAATGACAAGGGAAAGAGATTTTTAAATTCCATGATCATTGATAAAATCTAAAATGAAAATAGACATGTTTTGGTGAAGATGAAAAAGCAAAGCTACAGGAAATCAGTGTTTGTTTACCCTTTAAGAGGTCTTCCTCAGTGATGCCGAGGGCAGGAGTGCTCACTTCCCCCTCCAGCTGAGGTTCACCGGGTGTCTTCTAAAATTTGCTTTGTACAATTAATTCATTTCTGAATTTAACCATGTAGTATATGTCTTTCCTACTGCCTTTCTGCCTTTTTCCCTCCCACATTGGCTTGTAGATTTTGTAAAAGATAGACATTTTAGGCAAAATGGTAGCAGTTTGATTAAGAGTTATGGCTATAATCAGAGAACTTTGCTTCCTTCCTCTGTCCTGGAGCTCTCTCTGACCCTCATCCAGCTATTAGGGATCTGCAGGCATCACCCCGGGGGTGCCCTGTGGCTCATTTTCTAGGGAAGAGGGAAGCTGAATCTAGCCTTTAGGGAAATTGATTTGAGAAGTTTGCATGTGAAGCTTCCCTAAACAGCACTGCCAAAGCTTTGAAATTGTCACATGAGGCTGCCCAGACTCCCCAGCCTGAGTTCACATTGCCAATAGCCCCACGGTGCCAAATTTTAGGATGGTTTTACAGTCTTTTAGAAATGAACTTGGGAATGAATGACCGTCCACATGCTTGCGAACCCCCAGCAAGATGCCAAGCCCAGATCCTCATTAATGCACTGCTCTGCTGCTGCCCCACTGGTCATTTGTACTCTTAACAATGGGTTGGGATTGGGGGTGGGGGGTAGGACAAGATAGGGAAAATTTTTTAAAAATTCATTGTATCTGCAGTTCTCTAATCAAAGGAATAAATACTTACATTAAAAACTCCAAAGCAGTTCCCAAGACCTGCATTCATTTTATGTGACCAATTTGCCCAAGGCACTGAACAATGAAGTCACTATTCTAATATAACTTGACTGTGCGCATGTGTACACATTACTTGTAATCAGTGGCTACATTCTATTCCTTTCCTTAGACAGAAGGTATTGGCCTCTTGTCTATGTAATAAGAGCATAACAGAGAGTGTTTTATGGAGTGAAGGAGCGTATGCAATCTAGGTCATTTAAAACAGGGCTTATTTCATACAACTGTAATGATTTGAACCCACATACATTCTGTGCAAACAGGATTGCATGAGAATGATGGCATCATTTCAATCCTATGTGAAGTAATTCTGGGATATTGATTACATTATTTGATTGGATCACTGGGATATCCAGCAATACATGAAGGATACACAAGGGAGTGATCACTTTTTCCTTTACCAGGTATATCTTGATTTTCCAGATCTTTTCCCCCTGAGTTATGCCATACCTAATCTCAGAACCTCGTCAAGGGAGAAGGGTTAGAAAGGGCAACATTTCACTGTACATTTGAAAATATAAGAATACATGCTCTGGATGAAGTTTTATTCTTCAATGATTCAGAAATTATATTTTCTCCTTTGACCCATCAACATTAGACTGATCTTCCCTTAATATTCTCCTAAAATTGCCTTAGCTGGTCACACCAACATTCCTGAACCAGCTTTGCAGAAATAACTTAACTGTTAGATACCACGCTGGGTCCTACTTAATTGCCTCTAGATTAAATCATTGGTATCTAGACTTCTGGGTTACTTAGTGGAACACTGCAGAAGTAAAAGAATCTGCTGTTCCCCAAAGTGTGTTCCAAGAACACAAGTTTCAAAGATGATCTTCTAACTATAGGGTTCCATGGTTAAGTGAGTTTGGGAAAATATCTTAAAAGTTAGTGCATATAAGCACATAGAAGGTTTTAATGTAAATGTCCTATGGGTGAGTGGCAAGGGGGGTGCGGGGGGGGACATGACACACCACAACTGTAATTTCAGGTAGTTTATTGTTTGTTTTCCAGATTAATTTGGCCAGAGAAACTTTTTTGAGTGACACCTAATAATATTCCAAGGAGCTCATGTTCCATAGGGCCCACAATGGGAAATTCTGGTGTATGGAAATATTAGTATCTTCTCATTCACTGTGACTCTTAGTAGTAGCAGCACAATTTGCAATGTTGAAACACTAGTCCTTTCCATATGAGGCTGATTTGTTAATGAAAGCAGTGTTAAGAAACAGTATGACCTAATAAGACCCTCAGCAGCCTCCCATCGATAACAGAAGCCCAGCAATGCTACCTGAAGCTCTAAACTTCTCTCTTCTTGTCTGTGAATAATAAGCAGGAGCCTTGCCCTATAGCTAGGAATTTCTCAAATTCATTCCAAGAGCTTTCAGTTGGGTTTTTGAAGTTATCTTTGCTTTCCAGATTGAATCAAAATAAATATTTTTACATTTTATCACCATGTGAAAGTTTTAAAATACATATTTAATAGAAAAGGGGGGAAAGGGGCAGCCCAGGTGGCTCAGCGGTTTAGCGTGCCTTCAGCCCAGGGCATGATCCTGGAGACCCGGGATCGAGTCCAGCATTGGGCTCCCTGCATGAAGCCTGCTTCTCCCCTGACCTGTGTCTCTGCCTCAGTGTGTGTGTGTGTGTCTCTCATGAATAAATAAATAAAATATTAAAAAAAAAAAGAAAATGGGGGAAAGACATTTAGTTATATAATTCATTTTAAAATTGTAACTAGATTTTTAAATTATTTATCCATTGTATAATAATGGAAATGTAAACTATTAACACTTAATTTACTCTTTCCTCCATCATTCTTTCCAGATTCAGTGAAATAATCAAAAATCAATCAAAGCTCATTCATTCTAAAATCCCTATTCCATGTTGTCCCACCTTTCACATTTTATGTGTAGGATTAAGTTTGGTGAGTTATCTTTTGCCTAAAATGTAGGGCTTGACTATAGCTTCATACTCATCACTCTTAGCCTGGGCAAGGCTGGGAAGCTCTGGGTAATCCCAAAATAATGGATGAAATCAATTTTGTCCAAAACACAGTGCACAGTGAGTTTAGGGTAAAGTCATTAACTCAGAATTACCTCCAGTGTGTAGGAATATATCCACCCTGTGGACATTATCCAAAATAGTAAGAAACCCAAAGTAAAATTGATTAAGCTGGGTGGCAGATATCAGAGGACAAGTGACAGTTGACACTATAAGGCTTCCCATGAGATATGTGCTTCTAAACATGTTTGGTAGTATGTAAATTTTTTGCTAATTCTCAATGCTTTATTATTTTTTCTTTTTACCACTGTTCAGCTCAGGCTATTTAAGTAAGGGTGGATTATGATAATTTTGATGTGTTTAGTAATGACCACACCATCATTTGTACAAACACTCTAATAAATTCCAGTTAAGGACTTTGAAGAAAGCACATAGTAGCTGTTCATTTTAACGAATCATCATAGGTAGGCATTTTCACAGTTTGAAACTCTGCCAATAAGCAAGCAAACAGCCAAGGTGTAGTTTATATTTAGAGATGTGGTTCCATTAATTCTAGAAGTCCTATAATCTGGCATTATTTAAACACAAAATCCCCTCTGACATTTGCCAAATCCAAATTAATCTTAAAATCTCCAAGGACCTGAGTCCTTGGCTCTGAGCACAAGCAGATTGCTATGAAGGTTCTGGTGGCAGATTGTGATGGGGAGGGTGGGGGCAGGACACTGTGCCTGGCTCACTCACTGTCTCTGTAGGAGAGGGACTATCAGCCACCCTCTCTCTTCACCTTTTGTCATGAGGAAATTCAGACGTTAAAGATGAATATCATGCATTATCTCAACATGGTTCTATATAAATCTGACAATGCATAATTTAAAACGTGTTTACACAGAAGCAAAGATAGAAGTAATAATCAAGGAATTGGAGAAGAAAACCTTTAGCGGGGATCCTTGGGTGGCTCAGTGGTTTAGCGCCTGCCTTTGGCCCAGGGCGTGATGCCGGAGACCCGGGATCGAGTCCCACGTCAGGCTCCCCGCATGGAGCCTGCTTCTTCCTCTGCCTGTGTCTCTGCCTCTCTCTCTCTCTATCATGAATAAATAAATAAGTAAACTTAAACTTTAAAAAAAAGAAAGAAAGAAAGAAAACCTTTAGGGCAAAGGGCACCAGATATTAAAAATGTAAAAAGTAGGTTTCCCAAAATTTGGATTATCAGACTTCAGTCATAGCAATTGCGAACACCTGCACACAGATCAGTAGAAGGCACTTGTCCCCACATGTTACCTATTCAAACAGGAGGCTTCCTACTTAGCATATTGGCTAATGCCTTTTTTACATGTTAATAAAGACAGAATTCTAAAGCTTTTATAGGACTGTTAGTACAGACAGTCACATCTAAGAAAAATAGTTTGGAACATTTTTTAATTTGAAAAAAGGCAAAATTAATTTCAGTATGCTCCAAGTTGGAACGTAAAGAAAAGCATTTTAAAGAAAATATAAAAGACAAAAGTAAAAGAGTGATATAAAAGGAAATATTTTAAATTAAGAAAAGGAGGCATATTTATGACATTATGAATCATGCTTTCTGATATTTGTGTTTTTTTCTGAAGTTAAGGACACAACACTGAAATAAGAAAATGAACATTGAGTTATTTGTAAAGTTAGTAAAATTAGAGCCCCTATTCCATTCTTTCCCTGTGAAAATGAAAATGTGTGGTCTTATTTATTGCTGTCCTAAACCACCTTCATTGTCCCAGGTTCTCTTCGCAAATCTTAGACTTAGACGTAGTTTTACTCTGCATCCTTAGAATTTTTGCATTTTGCAGGAGGAAATACCCCTTTTTTAGAATTTTTTAAATAGTGAGCTAGAGTAATAAGCCTTTCATTTTAGAGTGCCCAGATAAAACTGAATTCAGATCAATGCAGTCAGCTACAAGAGCGAGTTGTAGACATAATTTTCTACATAAATTATGTAGACATAATTTTCAAATGCCAACATGAATACCAGTGAGTATTCAATTTATTTACTTTTTTTTAGAAGATCTTATTTATTTATTTGAAAGAGAACACAAACAGGGGGAGGGGCAGAAGGAGAGGGAAAAGCAGACCCCCGACTGAGCAGGGAGCTTGATATGGGGCTCCATCCCAGGACCCCTAGGTCACGACCCCAGCCTAAGGTAGACGCCTAACCGACTGAGCCAGAGTACGAATTTAAGACAAACTACAAAAACAACAGGAAGATTCAATGTTCTTGCTCTGGGGGGTTTTCTAACCCATATAATACAAAGGATCATATTTACTTATATAATTTTTTAAAATGCCAATCACAGAGAAATGATGTTTTAGACATCTTTAGCCCAACAGAATGTTATCTCTTGTGCAAATCTTAAATTTCTGTCCTTATCAGTACATGTAAGAACAATGCTTAGTGTACTAATGAAGAAATAGATCTACATTCTGACGTTTGAGAAAAAAACTAAAGCCATGGGATGTTAAGTGAGACTACTGCCCCACCATTTAGGCTTTAAGACTACAACCAAACAGTCTTCACGTGTTGATCATTTTGATTGTCTTTTTACCTCAGGTATACATTCAGAAAATAGAGTAATAAATATAAAAATGGAGAAAATCCACTAACTTTTCCTTCTATTTTAGAAAGCAGGGGCACCTGGCTGGCCCAGTCAGGGGAACATGCAACTCTTGATCTCGGGGTCATGAGTTCAAGCTTCATGTTGAGCATAGAGATTACTTAAAAAAAAATTAGAAAGCAGTGTTAGCCCTCTTTAATTTATCTGAAATAAAATTTATCTGTTATGTTCATATTGAAACATTAACACCTCCAACTTTGTCTTCAGTTTACCCTTTAATTACTAATGCAAATAGATTTGATTTATAGCACTTACGCACTTCAATTCAGGCTGTCTAGTTAAAATCTATTTTGCAATGCCTCAGTGTTCCTGTGGCGAGCCAGGAAAAAGAAAACAAAGACAAAAAGAAAAAATTTTAGTAAGGTCAGAGAATGGTTATTCTGACAAACCTGGAAAATAGTAAAGTTAATTCCAAAACACTTCAAGGTGAACTATGTTCATGTACATAATTTCTATTTTTAACTATAAGCATCACTGCATTTATAACAGATTGATCTACCTTGTGATCAGATTTAATTAGAAAAGTCATTATTGGGACCCCCGGGTGGCTCAGCAGTTGAGTGCCTGCCTACAGCCCAGGGCGTGATCCTGGAGTCCCAGGATCGAGTCCTGTGTCGGGCTCCCTGCATGGAGCCTGCTTCTCCCTCTGCCTGTGTCTCTGTCTCTCTCTCTGTGTGTCTCTTGTGAATAAATAAAATCTTAAAAAAAAAAGAAAAGTTATTATTTTTGCTGTAAGTATATCTGCTTGTATGTTTTGTTCTTCCCTTTCCTTTTTTTTTTTTTTTTTCTGAGCATCTGCCATGTGCCAAGCAGAGACAGTCTGAGTAGATCTAGGGGTGAGCACTCAGGCATCATCTCTGCCTTCTTGGCGTTTACAGCCCAGCAGAGGCTTCATAGATATTATAACACTCATTATCGGCTGAATGGGGTGAAAATTGGCATCTTTCATGATTTCTTCCAATAGCCTTGGGTTTATGAGAACAGTGCAGAATTAGACATTCTTTCCTACGCATAGGAGAGTGCATGACTCTTTCCCCAAAAGACTAGGGATATCTTGCAAATTCCATCAGATAATTACTCCATGTTAGATCACTTAAGTTTCCCAAGGATACAGTGAGAAAGTGAGACAGGGAGCCCCTGGGGACCAGGGAAGGGGTAAGGCTGTCCCAGCGGGAGGCCATCACTGAGGCCTCCACCCAAGTGGGACAGGTGCTATACAAGGACTCAGCAGTAGTATGGTCGAAGCCAAGGTGTCCCTCCTTCCAGGATCCTTTCCTGGAGGAAAAAGAGAATTATTGGAAAAAAGAATAGGGAATAATGAGAACATCTCTCCATGGCCCATCTTAATTTTTGTTCCCAAGAAGCTATGTAGCATAACACCCTTATACCCCCAAAACAGAACCGAGAACTGTGAGTGTTTATCAGCAGTGTTCCTGAATCTATAAATTAGTGAATTCATTACACAGAAAATTGACATGTCTCAGGAAGATAATAATTTCTTGGTTTTAAATATGAACAGAAAACTAAATGCCAGATTTTTTTAAAAAATCATAAAGTTGGTATCCATAGTAACTTTAGACATTCCAGAGTCTAGGCATGGAATTTAAGTTTTATATTTTGAAGAAAATTGCAACATCTATTTTCAGTAGGGCAAAGCAAAACTAAATACCAGACTTTTATTTTTAACCACATAGGGCACCACTTCTCTCTAAGTTCTTTGCCTGGTCATTCTCCCTGAACATCTCTTTCTGTTTATGCCAACTGCTTCTTTATCCAAGTAATAGTAGCTACTACCAAATTACATTAGAATCATATTGAATTAGAATAATAGAAAGTGAATGATAAGAGACTGGGAATATCTCATAGTGATTAGAAGTGGGAGGATTTTGTTGCCATTTTGTTTTTAAGCATGAGAACATATAAAAGAAAATTCAAATTAAGTCAAAACAAATTGTGATTTGGTAAGATTAAAACCCGAGATGGAGCCCCATTATTCAGGGAGGGAAAGAAGGAAAGGAGAGTTGGAGAGAGGAAGAGAAAAAAACCCCACATAATTGAGTAGTGTTTTTTTATGAATGGTGTATCCCCCAAGTTCTGATCTCATCCCCCCCCCTGCTGGATTTTGCAACAGTGACTTTGTATATAAGCGTTTACTAAGCAATTTTACCACCATGAAAGTTTTTCCATCAGCTTTTTCTTGATATTTTAAAAATTATAAGAGGTTGTATATAAAAAGATTCTAGGATCCATAATTTATTAGATAATGGTTTCTTTTAGGAATCTTCAGATTGTATTTAATAATTAAGTTGCAGGTCAAAATGCTCAAATCAATCAGGCTTTCCGATAAGTTGGTCCCTGGAAACTATCCATAATAAATACAACAAAACCTTGGCAAAACCTCATTACTCTTGGTACTCCTCAAAGGTTTTTATACCTACAATTCTATATTTGTCTCTAAGAGACATTTGAAACAATGTTAAAATGTCAGTTTGGTGTAGAGCTCAGAGGATATGGCGGTGCAGTCCCTCAAGATGCATGGCGTGTCATTCAGGTCCTTTGATGTGTGCTAGGGGTAGATTTAGCCTTGTAGAGACTAATGTGTTCATGCAATCACTGATTCTGTGTTGTTGTATACAAAATGAACAGCTAAAAATTCACCCTTGATGACAAGATTAAAGCAAAAATAAACACATTAAAGTTATTGGACTTTATACATGGGATTGCTGCTATTCTTTTCCTTTGGTTCAACTCATTTTCCACTCTAATATCTGCTCTGGAGTTTTACCATTTCCCAGTACTTTTCAGTGAGAGTAGCTGTGGAGTTGAGATGCCAGGTAGGAAACAGAAGAACAATTCACGAGCCAAGACCAAAGCACAACAGAAGCAAGAGACAGGAGATGTTGAAACTTTGGGTGTTTTCATTTAGAACAGGAATAAGCCTGGCTCTGGTTCAAAACAAGGTAACTTTTAAAAGCGAATGCAACTAAAATGGTTTGTTGTTCACACAACACAACTTTTACCCAGCTTTATACCCCGTCAACCAAGTTTATATAGTATATAATCAGCATTAGGTGATAAGGGTTAGGGAAGCTCTACATACATGCCAACTCTCACAACATGGTATTACACACCTCTGAGAAGAGTGTTCAGAAGAGAACGACCATCTGCAAAGTTTCTCACAGATGCAGAAATGAACACTGTGGAGTCTGGACACAGAGAAAGAGCTATACATCTATACACGTGCACACACGTAAGAGACTACTTTTAAGTATTCTAAAGGCAAAAGGCTCAAGTGTGAATAGTACCTGGAACCTAGATGAAGAACAATAAAAGTGACTCTGCAGATTGCTGAATTTGGAATTGTGTGTAATAAAGCAGAAAAATATGGCTTTGGATTATTTTTCTCCTTTTCATTAAAATAATATAGCCAGAGTAGAAGACGCCGCCCACAAATTCTAGTCTTCTATTCCTTTCTCTAAGTAGAAAATTTCTTTTCTTCTTTAAATATTTTTTAGAGGGGTGGGGTGGGGGGAGAAGGAAAGAGAATCTCAAGCAGGCTCCACACAGGGCCCAACACAGGGTTCAACTCCACCTCCAAGATCATGACTCAAGCTGAAATCAAGAGTCTGATGCTCAATCAACTGAGTCACCCAGGTGCCCCAGAAAATCTCTAATATAGAATGAGGGATATGATTCAAAATTTCAGGATGAATGTTTGTCATCTGGGGTAGAATAAGAAGTATAGACTTTTCCTTTTTTTTTTTTTTTCAAGACTTTTCCAATATCAGCCACAGACCAAAGAAACAGGAATCAAAAGCCACGAACACTCCAATTTCACTTACAGAGATGGGTTATATTCTCTCTTTCTTTCCCTCCTTTTGTTTTGTTTTAAAAATATAGTAGTGGCAATCTCTATAGTTTTTTGAGGTAACAACAAAAGATTCTGGTAGCTTAAGCAGAAAGAGGACTTTAAGGATTTTAATATAAGTGGTGCCTTGTGCAATTCAAGATCAGTTAGTATTTAAGGGTAGGCTTGGGAACAATTCACACCTAAGACTCAAAAGCTGTGAAGGAGTCTACAGGGCTTCCTCTTCCAGCTCAAACAGATTAACTGGTATTGAACTAGGCCACCTATCATAAACAACTCTAAAACTGGACACTCTATATTAAGCAACTGTTTTCAGGCTTTAGACAACAGACAGTGCAAGACAGCAATCCTTTAGAGAAGGGATCACAAATTGTTCCATGATCAACTCAGCTGTGTAAGGGGACAGGTTTCTTTTTTTTAAGATTTTTATTTATTTGAGAGAGAGAGAGCGAAAGAGAGAGTGCACAAGCAGTGGGGGAGGGGCAGAGGGAGAGGGAGAAGCAGACTCTCCGCTGAGCAGGGAGCCCAGTGGCCAGGCTTGACCCCAGGACCTGAGACGAAGGCAGAAACTTAACCAACTGAGCTACCCAGGTGCCCCAAGGGGACAGTTTTCTGATTGTAGCACAGCAAGCTAAAGGGGGAACTTCAGGAGTTCAGGGTGGGCCCCTTGGGAGCCCTTAGCTGAGGGATTTTACTGAGTGTGCCCAGGATGAAACACTGAAGCTTAACAGAAAGTGGCCACTGCTACATTGAGACTGGGAGAGAAATACTGGATATTGAGCATTGCTGGGGAATACCAAGTTCTGGCCCAAGCAGAGTGGAGACCTCCTTAACACTGTGAACAACCCTGGGGTGCCTGGGTGGCTCAGTCGGTTAGGCATATGCCTTTGGCTCAGGTCATGATCTTAGGGCCTTGGGACTGAATCCCCATGCCAGGGCTCCCTGCGCAGTGGGGAGTCTGCTTCTCCCTCTGCCCCTCCCCCACACACATGTGCTCTCTTGCTTGCTCACTCTCTTAAATAAACAAAACAAAAATCTTAAAAACAAAACAACAAAACAAAACAAAAAAAAAAACCCACTATTAACAATCCTCACATCCAACCTGAGACACTTAGGGTATGCCTTAAGAGTAAAAACTACTATCTAGATTAAGGCTTACATCAGATCTAACCTAACTGAACCTAAAACCAAGTTCTGGCAAGATCTACAAGGGAGGCTGAGGTAGGAAGTTGAGTTCCAACAAGTTAGAGGGGCTTGAGAACACCTTAGGCTTTTATAGACTGGCTGAAACAAACCCTAACATGTACTCCCTTCCTTCATCCATCCCTCCCCAAGCCTTCCCTGCAAAACAAGATCAAGATGATCAGCTAATAACTGAACTACTTATTAGAACAAAACACAAAAGTTAAAACTCTTTAGAGGAAGATAATAGAATCCAGAATATTTATATATTTATAATGTATCACTCACATTGTCTAGTATAATATAAAACCAAGAATCACCAGACACACAAAGCAACAGGAAGATGTGACCAATAGTCATGACGAAACAGCAGTCAATAGCAACCACCTCTGAGAGGCCTACTTAATTGATCTTAGCATATTGTACTGCAGTCATAATAAGTATATTCAAGGAACTAAAGGCAACTATGGTCTTAATGGAAAAAAAAGGTAAGGAATCTCAACAGAGAAATGGAATATTAAAAGTGAAAATTCTATAACAGAAAGTAACTGGAATGAAAAATTCGCTAGATTGGCATCATAGAACTTGGAGATGACAAAAGGAGTCAGTGAACTCGATTAATACAAATTACCCAATTTGAAGAAAAGGTGAAAAAAAAAGTTGAAGGAAAAGTAATGGAAACTCAGGGATTCATAGGACACTGTAAAACAGTGTAAGATACATGTTACTCAAATGTCAGAAAAAGACAAGAGTGAGAATGGGGCAGAAGAATATTTGAAGAAACAATGGCCATGAATTTCTCAAATAGCAAGAAAAATATTGATATATGGAGCCAGGAAGATGAGCAAACCATAGGGAAGTTAAATACAAAGAAAGCACACCCCACAAAGAATGATCCAACCTAAAATTCATAATGGTTGAAAGGTCCTGCTCTGAAACAATCAATTCAAAAAATAATTTTAAAAAAGAGAAGTAGCTAAGAAGGCAATTGAGGAAATTACATGGAATATTTGTGCTTAATTAACTCAAAAGGGGAGGGAGGAGACACATAGGTACAAAATGGAAAGTAGATAATGGGATGGTATACATAAATCAATCATATCAATAATTACATTAAATATCAATGGACTAAGCACTTCTTAATGAGGCAAGTCTCTCTCTCTTTTTGGATGTTGCTGAGACAACTGGGTATTTGTATGGAAAAAATGAACTTCAATCCCTTTCTCATTCTGATTAAAAATTTAAATTAGAGATGGATTATAGACCTAAATCTGAAACTTAAAACTCATAAAGCTTCTAGAAGAAAATATAAGAGAAAATCTCACTGACCTTGGTGTAGGTAAAGATTTCTTAGGTGGGGCACAAAAAGCATGAACTATAAAAGAAAAAATGTGTAGGAATACACAGTGATACACTTTTGAGAACTATTTGGCATTTTATTTTTTTTTATTCTTTTTTTATTTTTATATGATAAATTTATTTTTTATTCGTGTTCAATTTGCCAACATATAGAATAACACCCAGTGCTCATCCCATCAAGTGCCCCACTCAGTGCCCGTCACTCAGTCACCCCCACCCCCCGCCCACCTCCCCTTCCACCACCCCTAGTTCGTTTCCCAGAGTTAGGAGTCTTTATGTTCTGTCTCCCTTTCTGATATTTCCCACACATTTCTTCTCCCTTCCCTTATATTCCCTTTCACTATTATTTATATTCCCCAAATGAATGAGACCATATAATGTTTGTCCTTCTCCGAGTGACTTACTTCACTCAGCATAATACCCTCCAGTTCCATCCACGTCGAAGCAAATAGTGGGTATTTGTCGTTTCTAATGGCTGAGGAATATTCCACTGTATACATAGACCACATCTTCTTTATCCATTCATCTCTCGATGGACACCGAGGCTCCTTCCACAGTTTGGCTATTGTGGACATTGCTGCTAGAAACATCGGGGTGCAGGTGTTCCGGTATTTCACTGCATCTTTGGGGTAAATCCCCAGCAGTGCAATTGCTGGGTCATAGGGCAGGTCTATTTTTCACTCTTTGAGGAACCTCCACACAGTTTTCCAGAGTGGCTGCACCAGTTCACATTCCCACCAACAGTGTAAGAGGGTTCCCTTTTCTCCGCATCCTCTCCAACATTTGTGGTTTCCTGCTTTGTTAATTTCCCCCATTCTCACTGGTGTGAGGTGGTATCTCATTGTGGTTTTGATTTGTATTTCCCTGATGGCAAGTGATGCAGAGCATTTTCTCATGTGCTTGTTGGCCATGTCTATGTCTTCCTCTGTGAGATTTCTCTTCATGTCTTCTGCCCATTTTGTGATTGGATTGTTTGTTTCTTTGCTGTTGAGTTTAATAAGTTCTTTATAGATCTTGGAAACTAGCCCTTTATCTGATACGTCATTTGCGAATATCTTCTCCTATTCTGTAGGTTTGTTGACTGTTTCTTTTGCTGTGCAGAAGCTTCTTATCTTGATGAAGTCCCAATAGTTCATTTTTGCTTTTGTTTCTCTTGCCTTCATTGATGTATCTTGCAAGAAGTTGCTGTGGCCAAGTTCAAAAAGGGTGTTGCCTGTGTTCTCCTCTAGGATTTTGATGGAATCTTGTCTCACATTTAGATCTTTCATCCATTTTGAGTTTATCTTTGTGTATGGTGCAAGA